ACTTATAAAAAAATAAAATTTTATATATGTATGTATGTCTTGAATTCTTCTATCTTTTCTCATCAAAGGTTTTATTAATTTTTTTGTAAATACCAAAATAATGACAACAAATGGAAATATGTAGAAAGTAAATAAATTTGAAAGGCTTTATAAGATCTATAATAGCATCATAACTTACATCACAGCAAATTCCAATAAGAGCATCAGCATGTGAACACAGCTCTTGTTTTAAAGATATTATAATAAATTGCATCTCTCTTTTCTTAGAAAGTACAAAATGTACAACATTTCTCAAATTTATAGTATCTAAAGCTGCATCAATTTCATCCAATACAAAAAATGGTGCTGGTCTAAAACTGTGTTATTAATTCTTTCAAGAAGACAGTTATTCATAACATCAAAAATTGAAACAAATTATTCTTTGATAATGATTTAATAACAAGTTTTTTTATTAACTCAGTTTATGATTATTGATTAGAAGATTAATTTATTATAAATTACCTATGAATAGAAAATAAGAAAGCAAGAGCAGCAAGTGTTTTCTCTCCTCCAGAAAGATTTAAGAACAATTGAAATCGTTTTCCTGGCATTATACAACTATAATTTAGACCACCTAAATATGGTTCTTCATGGTTCTCTGGTAAAAGAATAGCATGGGCTGAATCATCTCTTACTAAACACTGTGTCCATATTATTCAATCATATAAAATTAAAAATAATATTCCATATTTAATTACAATGCCAAATATTTGTAAGATAAACCATAATTATATTCATTTACCTTATAAATGGTATCTAATTCTTCAGTAATGTGCTCTAAGCAAGATACAAATCTATTATATCTTTCTTGTTTCACTATTTCAAATTGTTTCTTAATTGTACGTACTTTCTTATGTGCTTCTTGGTATTCAAAACTTACTTTGTTTAGATTCTCTATTACAAATTTAAGATGTTCATTGGCCTGCAAGTGAAAATAAATAAATTAATATATTGTGTTTGAAAAAAATTATTTTATTTATCAGCATATGTAGAACAGTTTTGAAC